GGGGGGGAGGTCGAGGAGGGGTTTCTACAATGCCATAGGGCGCACCAACGATACAGAGAAGATGCGTGCTGAGCGTGGGGTCACGGTGAGGGCGGAAAACAACGCGCGGGAGGTGCGCGGCGCGCGTTAGGGGATTCATGTTGCTCAGGAACGGGGCTCCTGGGGGGGGCAGCTGGCCGGCTGCTGGGTGCTCCGACGCGGCTGGCGTGAGCAGCGGGCGCAGCCGCAGGCGCGGGCTCCGAGCCGCACCGTGGTTCCAGGCGCCGCCGCCGGAGTTGCGGATGACGTTGTTGATGGGGGTGGTCTTGCCCACGGCCTTGATGGCGACTGCGCGGATTGCACCAGGCAACAGCGGAGGCGTTCTCACAAGGGGGACGCAGCGCAGACGCAGTAAGACCCAGGGAAACTGCGCGAGAGGGCCGACGCACTGCGACGCAGACGGCTGGCGGCTGAGCACGACGGGCCCCGCCCATCCACCCGAGCGCCCGCGCCGACGCCGCCCCCCCCGTCAAGGGCCGTCGTCGGCGCGTCAGTGCAGGGGGGGGCTGCCCGGCCCTGTGGCGGCCCCGCACCGGTGAGGCTCTGCTTGGTGTTGTTCAGCGCATTCAGGTTGGTGATGAAGGTGGCGTAGTGCCTGGGGGGAGGGGACGACGACGGGCGAATGCAAAACTTTCTGGCGGCGCGATGAGGGGTGTGGGCCCGCACCCGTGCGTCGGGAGCAGAGGTGCTGCCGCAAGCTGTGGGCGGTGCGCCGGGCGCTTGTGGCAGGGGGCTGCCATGACACCACACAAGGCGGGCAGGCGGCGCCGACGGCCCGGGTGCGGCAGTGGCCGCCGCCCGCGCCCGCGGCTGCGCGGCGGCGGCGTGGCTCAGCAGCAGCGCGACAAACGCGGCCCGCCCGGCTTCCGCAGCCCCCTTGCGGTGCCGCCTGGCATCGGGCACCGGCGTCGGCCTCATCTGATCGAACCCTCACCGGTTGTAGTGGAAGTTCATGGTCTTGTTTGAGATTACGGGCTCGAGGCCGTTCAGCTCCACGGGAAGCTTCACGCGCTCAAAGGCCTTGGGGGGGGGGGCAGGGTGGGGTGGGGTGGGGTCAGGCAGGGGGCTGCGGCGCGGGCGGCATATTCGGGGGGAGTCATCGTTCTGCGTTTGTGAGTCCTGCCAAATGAGGGGCTGCCGCGGCAGGGTGCCGCACGGAGGGTATGGCATTGGGCAATTGGGGAACGCCGCCGGCGCGCGGGGCACGTGGTGTGTGGGGCGCGGGGGTCGACGGGAGCTGAGGTGACCGCGGGATGAAGCTGCGAGGCGCTTTGTGCGGTGCGGATGCCGCCGTTGTTGACGTACGTCGACAGCAGCGCAGGCCCGCGGCGCATGACATTCATCGGTGGGGTTGTGAGCAGGTCACACGTGCAGTGCACTCGTGCGGATCTAATCTCCCGCGCAAAGGCCGTGTGGGGGGTGCAAGCCGAAGGAGCCGCGGGCAACTGGTGGCCGGCGGCAGCGGCGCGGAAGCCCAGTGCCCTGCCTCAACCAGCCCAGCGCGCTTTGCAGGACGTTGAGATGGCCGTATATGTGCGATTTGACGCCTACGCACCTGAGCTGCGGCCAGCAGCACGGCCATCACGGCCAGGCACAGAGTGACCTTCATCGTAGGTGTGGTGATCACTGCTCCAGGAATCTTGTATTGATTGAAGATGTACTGTTTGTGCGTGTACGCGGGTTGATGGAGGTCTGATTGTCAATTGTCGCGTGATGCCACCGGAGGGGAGCGGAGGGTGTGGGTGACAAGAAAGTGAGACAATTTTCAACGGCTTCAGGCGAGCGCTCTACACCCTCCAAACTTACCAAGTCACTGTTTGGATCCTTATGCGCCGTCTGGGCGCTTGAGATCGACCCGTAATCAGGCTGCACCGGTCTGGCAAGCAGCCCAACGGAACAAGAGCCCAAACGGTGGCTCGTCGCGGCCTGCGGCCTGCACGAACAACCTTTGAACTGATCAGTTGACGCTCGGTCGATCAAGCACGGCGCAGGCATGGCGGACGCGGTACCGCCGCATCCTGTCACACCTGCGCCGCGCTTCACGCCCTTTGATCGACACCGCATGCAGGGTGCGTGAGGCGATCGATTACAGCTCGTCCATGCTGGACGCATGTGTGCGCCTACATGCTGCATGCATCGATCGCGCCCTTGCCCGTGGTCAAACACGATCCCAGGCTCGAGCCAAGCAGTGCGGCGGCCGCATCACGTTTTCGCGCATCGTCTGCTCGACCCAGCCCACGCCGCCGCCGCTAGGAGACTCCATCGAGCGCGCCGGGGCAAACCATGTCGCAGAGCGCGTCCACCTGCCCCATTACAGACGGCAGGCCGGCACGGTCCTTTTCACCCTCCGCAACCGCCACCAGCCGCTGGCCCCCGCCGGCCCCGCAGCCGCACGACCCCCCGCCGCCATTACTGCCGCCGGCGCCGCCGCCGCAGCACGCGTGGCGGACGGCGACCGTGCAGTCGTGCGCGCAGCGCAGCACCACCTCAGCACTCCCGCCGCCCTCGCCTCTCATGAAGCGCGTCCATGCGCCCGGATCCACGTGCCGCTGCGGCGCCCGCCCCCGGCCGCCTGGGCCGCTGCCGCCGCCGCCGCCGCCGCTGTCGCCGCGCCGCTCGTGGCGGCGGCGCATGTGGCCGCTGCCCTCGCCGGTGCCATGCGGCCAGGGGGCCTCGGGGGTCGGGTCCGCCAGGCTCTCCACCTCTAAATCAGTGGCCGCCTTCGCATCCGCCGCCGCTGCCAGGGACGCGAGCGACAGCGTCCCCACCTTGCTGAGCGGCGAGGCCCTGGGGGAGTGCATTCCGGACGGGGGTGCCCGTCAGGCTTCCATCAGGGATCTCATGCGAAGGACCGTTGGATGTGGACGTTTTGATTCACGACGAGCGGACCTCACTGCTGCGCGTGCGTGGCCGCAAACAGCCCCCGTCGGCTTGCAAGCCGCCACAACCCCACAACCCCTGGAAGCTCTACACCTGCGCGGAGCTCCCAGCCCCCCCCCCCCCGCAACACCCCAACCACGCCCCGCCCGCCGCCACCTGCAGCGATATACACATCAAGCCACCCGCAGACGTGCAAGCGGCCAGCCTCACCGCTCAGTCCCAGCCTGGCCGTCTGCGAAATGGTACCGCAGCCCCGGCACGTGCCACACATGCTTCGCCGGCAGCTCCGCCCGCAGCAGCTCCGCCAGCCGCGGCGCCCGCTCCCGCAGCTGCCGCGCGGCCGCCGCGGCAGCCACGGCAGTTGCCTGCGCGGGCACGCCGCCGCTGCTGGCGCCGGCGCCGGCGCCGGCGGCCGCGCCGGGTTCGTGCAGGAGGATGAGGAATACGAGCGGACCCGTGTGCCAGACGAGAAGGCGGGAGGGCTCCTGGCCGTCCTGCGATGATGGGCCGAGGGAATGAGGGGAGAGGCGGGTGAATGAGGTGCCTGACGTTTTCAGCTGCCCCAGAGCTGAGGCTCGAAGGGCCGGGCGTCGCGGCCGCCGGCGCCGCGGCGGGGAACCGCGCCTGGGCTCGGGTGAACCTAGGAATGAGGTCCCAATCACGGCGCACGGCGAGCCGCGCGGGGGACCCTCGCTGCCGAGAAGCCCCACACCTGCAGCCAGACCGTGGGCAGCCCGGCCGCCGCTGCGCCGCGCTCGCCGCCGTTGGCGGTGCCCGCTGGCTGCACGAGCCCGTCCTCCCGCAACTCCCAGTATGCAGGGTTGATGAGATTGTGCGCCGCCACCGCCACGCCGCTGCTGCCGCCGCTGCCTCCCGCCTCGCCGCCCGCTCCGCCGCCCCCATGCTGCAGCTGCTGCACGCCGGGCCCGCCAGCCGGTGCGGCCGCCGCCCCCACCGGCGGCCGCGCCTGTGTTGATGGGGTCCAAGGGCGGCATTGTTTTTGGGAATCGGCCACAGTGACTGCCGTTCCCTGCTCGATGAGGCCACCAGCTACATTTCAAGGGTAACATTTGACGGCAGCAGACAGTGCAAAAAGCAACAGGGCCTGGTGCCGTCACCTCGCTGGAACGCAGCGCGGAGGCCGCCCCCTGCACGCCCCGCCCCGCCGCGCAGCGGCGCGCCCCCCGCCCGCAAGCGGCTCACCGTCCGGTGCCGCGGTCCCGCGCGGACAGCCGGCAGGACGCCCCGCGCTGCGAGCGCAAACAGCGCGGCCGTGTCCCCGGGCCCGAGCGTGCTCCACAGCAGGTGCTGCCCGTAGCACGCGACCACCCCCTGCACCGCCCGCCCGCCGCCGCCGCCGCCGCCGCCCGCCAGCAGCCGGCTCACGATGGCCTGCAGCAGCGCGAACGCGCCGCGCGGCGCGCGCAGCAGCGGCGCGCCGCCGCGGGCCGCCAGCGGGCAGGAGATGGCTGCCTGCTCGCGTGTCTCTGGCCGCAGCAGCCGGGAGGCCACCTCTTGCAGTAGCGGCTGCAGCCGCCGCCGCACCGAGGCGGCGCCTGGGTCGGCCTCGAGCTGGGCGTTGACGCCGCCGTGCAGCAGCGCCGCCAGGGCGTGGACGGTGCGCAGGCACGCGGCGAGCCCGTCGGGCGTCGCCGCGGCGCCGCACCACGCGCGGCTGGCGACCTGCGGAGGTTGCGGCGCGGCGAGCAGGCGCGCGCGTGCGCCGGCGCGTCGCGTCGGGCGCCGGCGCGGCGCAGCCTGGCGAGCGGGTATCCTTTCAGAATGCATGTCACTCCCCCTGGCAGGTGGGGAATACGTGATAGGGCGAAGGAGCGAGCATGTGAGGGCCCGCTGCAACAAGCTGCACTGAAGATCGCCCACCATGAGCAGCCAGACGCCAGGCTCGCAGTTGAGCATCGCCCAGAGGTTGTTGTCGGTCTCCATGCTGTGCACCCGGCCGTCCTGTCGGCGGAGGCGCGCGCCGCACGCCGCTGCGTGTTTCAACCCGCCGTGGAGTTGTATCGATGCGCGGGGGCCCCAGCGCACGCCGCGTGCACGGCTCGCTCGTGCCACAGCGGTGCGCGGTTTGAGGGCGGCACCGCTGACCGCACCGATTGGCCCCTCTCCTGTGGCCGACCTGGCCGCGGCGTCCGGCGGCGCGCGGCACGACGCCCCGCAGCCCCTCATTTGGCGCGCGGCTCAGCTGCGGCGATACCTCCCCTCGCCGCCCCGCCGCTCGCCCCTATGCCCTCTTCTTGTCATACGTTGCGACGAGGGCGCTGCGCATGCAGCCGCACCCACCTTGTTAAAGGTGCCGGCAAACATCGTGACCGCGTGCGCCAGGCCCACAATGCTGCTCTGCATCGCCGGCGGCGCCGAGGGCGGGTAGAAGCCCAAGATCTTGTCCGCTTCGCACCCCTCCGCCTGCCCGCGCCGCGTGTCATAGACGGCCAGGCAGACGGTGAAGTGGCCGCTCAGCCAGCGGCCGGGGCCGCTGCTGCGTGTCGCCGAGGACGCCATTCGAGCGCGCACTCGATGCGAGCTGCACCAAGCGCGCGACCGGCGGTGTCACGGTGCGAGGGGCTGGCTGATTGGATTAGGCTGCTTGAAATCTCCACAAGCCTTTGCGTATAACGAGTAGCCCCTGATGATCAGATCAAGCTTGTCCGTGCCAGGACCAGCGGATGGTAATACACGGGACGAGTGCTTTATGATATTCACCACATATTTCCTTCACACGTCAGTTGGGTCATCAACCCAAACCGGTTGCGTGTTTCCGAGACAACAGAAACCGGGCCCTGCACGAATGGAGAGTCCGTGAGCGTTGAGCTCATGGCTTTGAAATTACCAACACAGTGAATTGTACCTTGATAACTTGGTTAGCCCCTCTGGCCGCCCCCCCACGTATCAAACACTACCCGATCTAGGCAACATGCACCCTTACGGCGATGCGGGACCCCAACAGCAGCAGCAACAGCAGCTTCCTCCTGCATATGCGCAGGCGCACTACCCCCAGCCACCGCCCATCATTGGCTATGCGATAGTGAGCGACCTGCGCCTGGCTTCCGCGCGCAGCGCCTGCCGAGCTGGCGCGGGCTAGCCCAAGCGCATGGTGGCGGTATGCGAGCCCCGCCGCATGTTTGCTGAGTGCACATTGCATGTGGCTCCTGCACCTGCCGGCCAAAGGTGCCGCCTGACGCTCCGCCGACCTCCATCGGCGGCGCCCCGACGCGACCCTCCACGCTCCCAATGCCTTGACCGCAGGCGCCACCGGCGGCGCCTCCGCGGAATGGAGACGTCGTTATTGGCTGGGAGATTCTGCCGGTGCGCTGCCTGGCCGCGCCGCAACGCTGCTGCCAGGCGCGCCGCGCCCGCAGCAGCGACCTCAGGCCGCACACGCGCCGGCCGCACTCGGACCCCTCCGTCGCCCTCCGCCCCCCCACGCCGCGCCCGTGGCCCTGCCCCCCAGGTCGAGGAGGGCTGCGGCTGTGACCTCAATACGAGCGGCATCGTCGCCCTGGTGATCCTGCTGCTGGTGTTCTGGCCGCTTTTCTGGATCCCGATGGTTATGTCGGACTGCAAAAACGTGAGTGGATGCGCCGGGGGCCGCCGGTCTTCGCCCGCTTGCACCAGTCGTGCCCGCGCCCACGGCACGCGGCGACCGCCGCCGCAAGCAAGAGCTCTGCGGCCGCCGCCGCCACCGAGGCAGCGGGCAAAGGGCGCGCCGCTGCTCGCACAGCTGCTGTTGTGCAGCGTACGAGCAAGCGTCGTCCGCACTGCTGTGGCTTGGGCAAACAGCTGACCGACCACCCCACGCTTCCCATGTGCCCTCCCCTCTACCCCCATGCAGCAACGCCAGCGCCCGATCTACGGGCCGCCAGGGAGCGTCCCCCAGAGCGTGGCCGTACAGATCCCCACCGCCGCCGTCGCCCAGCACGCGCAGCCCGTCACTGGGTACCCCGCGCCCATCCCCGCCCCCGCCGCGGGCCCCTCTTCCGCCGCGGCGCCGCCGGCGAAGCAGGTCTGAGGCGGCCCGCCGAGAGGGCGTGCCGTGGGGCGCGTGTGCCGCGCACCCGCACGTTGGAGAGGCCCGGGCGCAATGCAGCACAGCGCTTTTTGTGCCCCACCATCCCCCAGCAAGCAAGGAGGGGCCGTGAATTCCGTGGCCCGCAGCGGGGCGGCACTTGCGTGTGCTTAAACGCTAGGGCCCTTCCCTACTACTTGGGTACTTGGCGCCTGCTGCCGGTCGCAGCAGCGTTGGTGCCTTTGGGGCACCGCCGCGTGCGCGATTTCGGGAATTTTTGTCAACCTACCCTGAGGCAGCCGTTGTTAACCGCCGCCTGCCTCCAGGCTTTTCATGAGCATCCCCAAGGATGTCTGTTTGTTGGCACGGCACGTGGTTTCCGTTCTGCAGCGCCCGCCGGTACCACCCTTCGCCCCATCTCCTGCAAGCAAGTCTCGCATTCCTCACGTGCCGGGTCATGCTATGCGGGAAGCGGGCAACACATGAGACTCGCATCACAGCCCTTGGTGCAATCGCCCACGACAGCGGGCGACGGCATCAACACATGTGGGTGTGTAAGCGCCCCCCCCCCCCAAACACGATTCAGACGCGACCACACCCCCAGACACATGCGGGGCAGTGAACCACACAGGCTTTCTTAGAACTTGAGATCTGTAAATGTGCCGTTGCTGTGCGCAGCCTGTGTTGTGCGTGTCTTGAAGGGGTGTTGCAAGCTGGCAAGCGGCCTGCTCGCAGCAGGGCATGCTGGCAGGCAAAAGCGGCTACAGGCGGTTGCCCAGCAACCCCAGGCGGGCTCAATCTGGGAATCTGCAAGGTGGGGTTGCTGGGAGTTGCTGCGGCCAGCTCCACTTGCCAGGCGCTCAGGGCACACCCGTGCTCAAGGAGCACGACGCGCCAGCTGGCGCCAGGCCGGCGTTCCTGTCTGCTGCGCCCTCGAGGCGGCACGCCGTCCTGTTCTTTCCCTCCTCTTGTGCCTGCAACGTCAACAAAGAAGCACAGCTTCAATCCAATCGCACTCACTCCCTGACCTTCTCACACAACCTTTCAAATCCAGGGAGGGTGGTTGGACCTCACTCTTGAGTGAGTTTCCTGCAGCCGCAGGACACCTTGGCAGTGGTGATCCAAGACCGGGTGACGGCCCAGTGGTTGGGCTTGCGCGCAGTCCGACCGACCATCAGCTCATGGAAAAACTTCGTGTAGGATTTTATTTGAGCTTTTGTATACCTCACGCAGCCGGCAAGACTCGAGGGGGAAGTCAGACCGAGTAACCCAGCTGGCACTCCGGTCCCCTTCGCCGCAGCTGGCAGAGGGGCGTGCTCACCTTATGAAAGGGTTCCGACGCCCCACAACATTTCAACGATTCACAACCCGTTCTTTGAGGAACATCACAACCCGTTTGCGTACATCAAGAGCAAAAACTACGCCTCTTCAAACGCATCACTTTCTTGGAGACCTCGACACTGCGCACATAGCGCTTCATCGTGGTCGAAAAATCATGGTGGCACCTATCTCGCTGCACGGTGCGTGTCCGAGGTCCCCATGGGTGTTTCGGGGGCTGCCTTCCGCCAGACCCAGCACCTCCCCGAGCTGGCGTCATCCTTATGATAGCATCAAGGGCCTCACGCGTTTCACATCACATTTCCTACTGTCTCCTCGCTTCACAGGCCTCCGCGGCGCCCTGCCCATGGCGCGCCCAAGACGCAGCAGCATCGAACGCACAGCGCGCATGTCGGTCCTGGCCCGCGCCGGCTCCTTCGGCGGCAGCGGCGGCCTCGGTGGTGGGTCAGACGGTGGCAGCGGTGGTGGCGGCAACTGGCACTCTGGCGGCGGTGGCGGCGCCGCCGATCCTGGGCCGATCATGGCCAGCTTTCTGGCGGCGGCCTCGCTCACCGCCCTGAGTGATCCTCAGAAGCAGCAGCAGCAGCAGCCGCAGCGGCATGGCTGGGCCAGCGACGACGAGGATAGTGATGACTTCGAGCCCTTCTGGGGCGCCCGGCGGCGCCAGCAGCAGGACGAAGACAGCGAGGATTGGGGCAACGCGTCGGACGCCGAGGACGAGGCAGAGGACGGCGCGGCGCCGCAGCAGCGGCGCTGTGCCTGCCTGTAAAGGCCCAAACGCCGCCAGCTGCCGGCGGTGCCCAACTCGCGCGGCACCTGTGGCTTTGCGGCTGCCGCGACGGTCCAAGTATACAACACCAGCACATATACAACAGCAACAGCACTGGATTTTTTTCTTTCGCCTCCCTGGGCGTGTCAGGCAGGCGAGCGCGTGGGCCGAGGTCACGTGGCGCGGCTCGGCCCTGCATTCGAATGTGGGGCCAATGTGCAGCATCAGCAGTAGCAGCAACAAGGCGGCAACGCAGTAGCAGCAGTGGCAGCAGCAGCAGGTTCCGTCCACAGCTATGCACCAGTGCCCACGGGAGCCGCGCGGCACCGTGCGGCTGACCAGCAGGCGTCTCCGCACATTCCGACGCGGAGCCTCTGTACAGATTGCAGCATATCAACAGCATTGTAGACGCAGCAGCAGAACAGGCGGAGCCTGCACCGAAGACATTCAGGCCGCAGGCAGCGCAGGGGGCCTTGCTTACGCCAGCCTCTTACACAATACCACACTCCTTGGCCGTCCTTATGCTTGCTTTTGTGTTGATACGTGAAGCACATGGCAATCTTGGTGGTCTTTATCGCTCGTGCTTTGTGGATTCAAGGCTCTGCAATAGAGCTTTGACCGCCCCGGCACGCTGCGCTGTTGCGCGCAGCTGCTGCAACCCTTCCGCGGGCGCCCCTATGTATACAATGAACAACAAACACACCAACACTCAAATGCTGCTGCAAACCAGCAAGGTGGCTGCTAACTCGCCCCGCTGCAAAGCGGATCTAGCAGCTTCACATACACTTGCTTTGCATCCAACCACACTGAACTGTGTAACAATGATCTTGCTTACACGAGGAGTAGGAGCAGGTGTTATTTGTCGTCACTGGTCGAAAAATGCGCAAAGCGATACTTCACCAGGTGCACAGCGCCCTCCAAAATCTGAACTGGTATCAACAATATTCAGGGCTGCTTGCAAAGTCAATTGTGTTGGTGATGCAGGCTGAAGCTCAGGTCTTGCTCACTGAGTGCACTTACAGGAGGATTGTTAGTAGGCCGGCTGTGTCTCTTCACTGGCCGCGAAAGGCTCAATGCGCTGCTGCTGCTTGTGTCTTCTCGATGTTGCTGCCACCCAGGGCGTGATCAGGTGCCTTCTGCGATTCCCGTTCCCCTGCAGCGGCTAGCTTTCCCACATAAATGTTGGGCCCTGCTCGCTGCTGCCTCCTTTTCTCCCTACACTGCTGCTTGCCCCGCTGCCCTGCCCAAGCCTCTGCGCTTCTTCTTACGCACGCTGTCGCCTGCAAGCATGCTGTTGCTCACACCCTTCCCATGTGCACCGTGGCTGCATCTCAGCTGTCAGACCTCCAGAGCGCAAAGCTCCTGGTAACTGTGGCTCGCGTGCAGGCGCTCGCGCAGCAATTGGTCTGTTGCGGATCGTGGGTGGAACCAAAACGCTCGCCAGGCAGCCAACCAGGAGCACGGACGGAACGGGCGGCCAAACGCCGATGCGGCCGCAATTTTGCGAGGGAGGTTGGCGCAAACTTCGCAGCTTGAAACAAGCCGACTCCCCCACTCGCGATGAGGGGGGAGATGGCGGTGCGCCAGAAGCGCGCGCCACAGCAGGAACGGTCAGCCAGGGCCACGTTGGAGCCCTCACTGACGGCGCTGAACCCATCACACCTCCTGACACCTAAACCATGTCCAATATGAGGCAGATTCGACTCCCACTGTGCTGATTTCGGAACAGGATTGAGGAGAAATGTGCAAGGACAGGGCTTACAGTCGCATCCACACCTTCCAAATAGTTGCGTTAATTCAATGCTTGCGATCGCAACCACTTTGGCAGTCACAAGACGCCTCGGCTCCGCCAACCCAGCCAGTTCAGCAGTCACCCGACTCACTTGTCTTCAACGATCACCTCAGAGGGATTCGCTCGGCTGCCGCAAACGTGATAGAATGTGTCAAAACCTCACTGCTGATCACTGAAGCTGGCGGGATGCTGGTTTGCAACTCCCTGCACACAAGTGCGTCGCTGCAGCGCGCCTGTTCGCGCCGCTGCTGCTGCCAAAGCGCAGCGGGCCCACTCTACCAGCAGTCGCGGCATCGCATCAGCAGCGCACAGGCACAATATGGGATCAGCTGCGCCGCTAGCAAGCATGGCGACCCCGCTGCCGCAGCCTTGAGCAGCGGCGTTGCACTGCAGCGGCGGGGCGCCTGCAGCGGCGCCCGCAGCAGCACCGGGCGCCCGCGGCGGGCGGCCGCGGCAGGCGCAGCTCTCCGTGAGAACCCACAGAACGTCCCAGAGGTGGAGGTGGTACCGGCGCCGGAGCTTACGGCTCGGCAGGCAGTGGAGGCGCAGCTGCAGGTGCGCGCAGCACAGCAC